CAGTCAGTCAATACTTCAAGGCAAGACCAGTACTGTTGGGTCATTTCCAGTAAATTATGAAGATTAATATATCTATCTATCTATCTATCTATCTATCTATCTATCTATCTATCTATCTATCTATCTATCTATCTATCTATCTATCTATATATATATATATATATATATATATATATATATATATATATATATATATATATATATATATATATATATATATATATTCAGAGTGATCCCCCCCCAAAAAAAAAAAAAACCTGTACAACTTTTTAAAATTAATATTTTCCTCCACACTGAAGTTTTGCATTTCAAATTTGTACACAACATTTGGAAGTCAAAAGGAATTTGTCTGATTTTCTTTTTAGATAAATCCACATTATAGTTTTGTTCTACATCATCATTGCCTTTCTCACCCTGGATCAGGATATAGGCAACGAAAACAAACACTTTCCACCTTTCACTATCCTGGGCTAGTCGCTTGATGTCACTCCACGTCTTCCCACTTTTCTGTACATCCATTTCCTAGATTCTTCTCCAGGTTCCACGTGGTCTTCCCCTTGATCTTTTACCCTGTGGGTTCCAATCTAACACTTTCCTTGTTGTGCAGCTGTTTGTTCTACATAGCGCGTAAAGCAACTACCCATTATCAGCTATGTCCCCATTTTTTGTTGCATGACGCACAAGTTCGCATTAGAGTTAGAGACCTACCACTAAAAATCCCAACGATTGCGCCATATTGCAAACTACAGTAGTCTTTCTGGCCAACAAAAGTTTGCAGAAAGTTTTTCTCAAGTTTCCTTTGCCTGCTGAGATCATTGGATTAATAAAGAGCAGAGAGCTTTTTGTATGGAACATTTCCTCACCACCAACTCATTTCGTAAGTTTCCCACAATGAACGAAAATAATGTTGAATGCCCTTAAGGTTTTCTTTAATGCCAAGGGTGGAAATGGTCCATCAGTTAGGACCTGTAGAGAATCAGAACTAAAAATTCCCAGATAAAACGACTACTTCAGGTCAAACACACACCGTTTGCGCCCCTTTAAATAAACGTCACCAGGGTGTAGAATTCAGTAGATGAGCCTCATGACACGTCTGTCCGTAGACGATGTCTGCAGCATGACTTTCCTAATTCTCAACGGTCCGCATTCTCAAGGTAGATCTTCATCTGCTAGTGCACCATTTTCTTGTTCGTGAAGCTATCAGAGGATAGCAATGTGTTCATGATTCCTCGATCGTCTTGAAAAGCGTGAACATTAACATTTCCTCTGAGACATTTGGTTTCTTGGCAAAGCCCATATTCACGTTTCAGGTTATATCAACTCCACAAAAGCTGTCTAAATGGGCAACCTAACCTTTCGCTATTGTCTCTAGAAACAGCTCCATACTGCAAGGTGTACATTGTGTGTGGCTTTGAGCACTCACGGTTGAGCGGATCCTTGTGTTTGGCCACCACTGAACATTACGAACGACGCGTTAAAATGTGTCGAGTGCAAAGGAGGACATTATGGACCATGGGGTTTCGGACTTTCAGAATTTAAAAAAATATATTTTTTTTACTCTGTACGAGAAAAAAATTGCTTAAAGGTTACAGGGGTGGGAAGATTAAATTTTAAAAAGAAAAGAAAAGGAAAAAACAAACCAATCATTAAATGACTTTCCTTACAAGATCTTTCAAATTGGTGCATTTCGCATTTATATGTGGTTTTTATAAAAAGCCATTTCCGTTTTCGAAAATAAGTTGGGTGAATTTTATGTCAAACGAATTCCCTTTGAACGAATTATACGTCTTTCAAATTACAACATTCTAGTACAAATTTTGTGCGATATATTTAGAAAAAAAGTTGTACTGTTTTGTTTATATATATAT